TTGAAAGTTTTAAAAGTTTTAAAAGTTTTAAAGTTTTAAAAGTTTTAAAAGTTTTAAAAGTTTTAAAAGTTTTAAAGGTTTTAAAAGTTTTTAACACTGTTAAAAGTTTTAAAGGTTTTAAAACTTTTAAAACTTTAAAAACTTTAAAAGCTTTGGGCCTTTTAAAAGTTCTAAAAGATTGGAAACTTTTAAAAGTTTGAAAACCTTGAAAACTTTTAAAACTTTCATAACTTTTAAAACCTTTAAAAAAACGAAACGACACGAGGCCACGGGTCAAATAATACATAAAGGGTTCTCTTACATATATATATACGTGTGTGTGTGTGTGTGTGTATGTACTATATTATATTTGGAGCCAGAAACAAAACATGAACAACGTAAAACACAAATACTGCTGAACATCCTAGGTTCCGAAAGGACAGGAGATCAGGCGAGAACGAAGGCGCGCGGCTTCTGAGTCTGCAGACGACGCGTTCGAAGTGACGCCTACAGCCGGGCCAAGGCAGGCCAAGCTCACTGAACACGCAGCAGAAGGAGCCTGACCATGCGGTTCTGAGCTTGGGCAGTAAGAGCCATACCGGCAGAGCAAGAAGTTGGCAACTGCAAGCGTCGTGTTGCCTTCATCCACCATAGGCCTCTCATGTTCAAGCTTCTTCGTAGCACCCGGAATATTTTTGTCAGCTCCCCTTAGCTGGGGAGCAGCAAGAACTTTTGGCCGAGATTTGTCTCCGGGGCTCTGGCACCGAAGGCCAGCCTTACACTGACGCCGGCCCTTGCTCCACTCCCAACTGCCGCAGCAATACGAGCCTTGTGCAAGTTTCTGGGTCATGACGTGCTTTGCAGTGGTTTCGCTTACTCCCCCAGTAGACAGGACAATCCCACAATACATGCCAGAAAGGTCGCTAAACCCTATAGCTCGAGCCTAAACCCTAAACCCTAAACCCTAAACCATGCTCAACTTAAATCCTGACCATGAAATGGGAGTTTCAGAAAATTGGGGGTACCTTGTTTTGGGGTCCTTATACGGGTACTATATTAGGGTCCCCTATATTCGGAAACCCCCAAACCCTAAAAAATGTGAGCCCTAAACCCTTAACCAAGTGAGGCTCCGTGGTGGCAGACAAGGAGACTCGACTGTGCTGAGCTGGTCTGGGAGGTATCGTCCATCCTAAGATGTTCCACTTATGTACGGTTTAGCCTAGGGAGTCTAGGGTTTAGGAGGCATCGTCCATCCTAAGATGCTCCACTTATGTACGGTTTAGTCTAGGGTTTAGGGTTGAAGATAGGGTGCGTTTTAAGAGTTTGCTTGCGGATTCTTCAAACGTATTGGTTAGGGTCTGGGGTTCAGGGTTTAGGACCTAGTATGGGCGAGTGTGATGCTGCACTACAAGCAGGATGTCACCAACTACGCATTGATAAGATGAATATTCATTTACAGCCGCGCATATCATGAACGTGTGCTTAGCAGAGTCTAGCATCTCTGTTTGGACCTGCGACTGGTAGGGCCCAACAGTGCCTGGCCCACCCTCTCCAGCGCCCATGCACTGAAGGCTTCCATCACAAACTGGGCGACCTTCCACGAGCACGACAGTGCCATTACAGAATACGCCCCAGTAGCCTCAGATGTATTGAGCGCTTGTGGCATGTTGATTGGTTTTGCTTGCCAAAAGCACGGATTGCATAATGTCTACTGAGTCTACAGAGTCATAGGACCGAAAACTAAAAACCCTTCCTGGAACCCACAATTACTAGGTAGGGCTTAGGTACCCTAACCTCTGAGCTCTCCAAGCTCACAGCAAGTAGCAAGAGATGAAGTTGGACCAGGCGATCGAATGATTCGCTGGGTCGAAAACGAGTTCCGCCTCAGTGGACACCGCAGTGGACACCTTAGCTTCAAGAATCGATGCAGGGTGCCAGGTTTAGGGTTCAGGGCTTAGGGTGGGTTTAGGGTTTGGGTTTATGGTTCGGGGCTTAGGGTAAATTCGATCCAGGGTGTCAGATTTAAGGCCATTGAGGGTTCAGGACTTAAGGTAATGTCGATCCCTGAGATTTATGGCCATTGAGGGTTCAGGATTTTGGGTGCTTGGGGTAAAATGAATTCAGGGCGTCAGGCTTAGGGCAAAATCGAATCAGGCTGTCAGATTTAGGGTTTGGGATCTTACGGTTTAGGGTTGAGGGTTAGGGTGCAGTAAATGAACAGCTTCGATACAATAGCTTGTGGCAGCGACCTTTAGTCTAGAAATCTCATGTAGGCTTATATGCCAAGTAAACGGGTGTAGGGTTTAGGGTTAAGGGTTTAGGGGGTGTAGGGTATAGGGTTAAGGGTTTAGGGGGTGTAGGGTATAGGGTTAAGGGTTTAGGGTTTTGCCCAGAGCACGCAACTTATATCGTGGGGGAAGACTTGGGTTCAGTGCGTGTCCATTTTATCCGTACGTCCGTACTTAGTTCCTGCTTGCTGAAGACGCTAGAATCCTAAACCCTAAACTGCAAACCCTACGCCCAGAACCTAGAGTGCCACATCCGAGCCATCCACAGCAACGAACTTTTAGAACCAGCCGGTGGGAATCCAGCACAACCACATGCTGTAAACATTCACTCCGCCAGTCCCGAATAAAATTCATTACTTTAAGGCCGAAGTTTATACTACCTGCGTACATGGACTTCCAGGGTTGAACTCAAGCTCACAGGACCCCAAATCGCAAACTCGCAACCTCGACTCAGAAAGTCGAGTAGGTCTCTCAGGCACCAACAATTTCAGAATAGCAAAGCACGAAGACGGGCAGTTCTCTAAATGAGGGTCCGTTTTAAAGTCCCCAATATAGTACGGCACCCTTGTAAAAAGGACTTCAAACGGGACTCTGGTGTAGAGAACTACCCGTATGGATCCGGTATAGAAACCCTTAAAGATCCCTTTAAACAGGGGACCCGAGCTGAGAGAACTACCCATGTAGACTGAAGAACTTAAAACCCAAACCGAACCAGAGAAGCCCTTTGCCCTGCACAGCCGTTCGTGGTCCCAAAATCCCTAAACCCTAAACCCCCTGAGCTTAAACTGGGCTTAGGGGTTAGGGGTTTGGGGTTCAGGCTTTAGGGGTTTGGGGTTTCGGGTCTCACAAAACCTCTCATCCTGGAAAGCGAACTACAAACCACAAAGTCTTAAGACTACTGAGGTCCGCCAAGACCCTGAACCCCCTGAGGTCCTAAACCCAACCCTTACCCTCAAAGGACGCATGTCTTAAGGCTTTTGGGCCCAAAGACCCTATTACATAAGGCTTTTGGGGCTATTTGGGGTTCTATGTAGGGCTTAACATTTCTAGGTGTAGAGTCCATGTACTCGTAAAATATATCCTTTGGCCGTAAGGAAGTCCCTATTCGGGTACTTTGGGGCCAAAGTGTCTACTATTCGGGTAGGGTCCAGCCCCCTCCACCTAAACCCTAAACCCTGCTTGAGCACCCCACAAGACCAAATCCAAGCCCTGTGCTCCTTTAAAAGGCAGAGCTACAAAGCTATCGCTGGGTATCTCCGCAGAACCGAAGTGGAAGAAGCAGCATGATAAAACCGCCTTCAGGTCTTGGAGCTATAGGGTTTCGAGGTTTACGCGTTTGGGGGCTGAGGGAGAGGGTTTAGGGTTTAGGGTTCAGAGGGCTAAGGCTATAGGGTTTCGAGAGGTTTAGGCGTTTTGGGGGCTGAGAAAGGTTCGAACGATCCCCAGCAATGCAAATAATGCAGAGGGTTTAGAGCTTAGGGTTCAGAGGGCTATTGGGTTTCGAGGTTTAGGCGTTTTGGGGGGTGGTGGGCCCGTAATACTCTGGGGGTTCGGTAAACCCTAAACCCTAAACCTAGCAGTTTAAGGTTTAGGTTTTAAGGTTTAGTCTAGGCTGCCTCAGCCCCAAACACTACCTTCTTAAGGACTCACATCATTGAACTCCTGAGAAGGAGCCCCTAAACAGCTGGGCCTCTTGGGCTTAAGGTGGGGCTTCAAGATTAGCTTCGACCTGCTTACCTACACAATCCAACGCGGCTCTTTTTAGGCATCCAACTTTATGCACAGGACCACTCACGAGAAAAGCAAGTAACGGCAAACACAAGAAACCACACCGGAGGGGATCAGAACTTCTATTCGCGACTACGCCGGCCAGAAAGTAGAAGCCATTCAGGAAGACGGGCCCGACATTTTAGCTTAACGTTTGATGTTTGTGAGATTTTTCTCACGGGGTTGAGAGGGGGCCCCTGTGGAAAGGCCCCCCGGAGCCCTGTGGTTTTCGATCCTGAACTGGATCTAATCAGGCCAAGGGTTCATGAATGGTCTTTCAGGGTTCCTTTAGGGGTTCCTTTCAAGGTTCCTTCAAGGGTCTTTAATGTTTCCTTTAAGGGTTCCTTTAACGGTCTTTCAGGGTTCCTTTAGGTGTCGTTAAGGCTTCCTTTAGGGGTCTTTAGGGGTTCCTTTAAGGGTTACTTTCGAGGTTCCTTTAAGGGTTCCTATAGGGGTTTGGGGTTTAGGGTCTACTTAGAGGTTCGTGGGGTAGTGATAAGTGGGGTTGTAAGTCCCCGTATATAAAAAGGAATGTAACTTAACTATACTTGCCCTACTCCAAAACCCCCACTTATGACTACCCATGAACCTCCAAGTTGGGGCGTTGAGTTTAAGCTTCGGGATTGCAGCAGAGCCCCCTAAACCCTAAACCCCAAAACCCAAAACCCAAAACCCAACCAAAACCCTAAACCCTAAACCCAAAACCCAAAACCCTAAACCCTAAACCCCAAAACCCTAAACCCTAAACGCTAAACCGCCAAACCTGCGGAAGCAAGGATCGAGTTCAGTGCCCGGTGCCGGGAGGGATGAAGAAATCACTCGCGCTCCCACTAAACCCTGGCTCTCTACCACCACCCTAAAAAAAACCTACCTGGTTTAGGGTTTAGGGTTTAGGGTCCTACCTATAGTCTCCATTGTAGTTCCTTTTTTGGGTTTAACCAATTATATATTAAGGATTGTATAAGGTACCCCCAAAAAGGAACTACAATGGAGACTACAGGTAAAACCTAAACCTTTAAGGCCTAAACCCTCAGCCCTAAATGCTCACATCCCCAAACCCTAAACCCCAAACCCTAAACCTTAAGCCCCCAATCCCTACAGTAATCCCCCAGACTCCTGAAAATCTTCTTGGTGCTAGGAAGCCCAGTACTTGGAGGGTCGGGAGACTTA